AGTGAGGAATAATTAGCTGTATAAAACTTCCTTTTGTAGTCATTTTTGTACTGCTACAAGGATTTCAAAGACTGCTACTTTGATTTGTTAGGCCTAGTGGGAGCTCTAATACCAGATTGTTAGAAACTTTAAACAAAAAAGCTAAGAACTAGAACACAAAACTAGGATGAATAAATACTTTATTATCAATGACTTTAGCTTTAAATAGTTATTCAAGACATAATCTTAACATAAACAAAAAAGTAGCATTTTAGCATATATAAATCTAAGGAGATAATAGAAATATTGAATAAATCAAATAGAAGTAGATATCCCTATAGACTAGGACTTTTCCTATAAATCAACATTATTCTAACAAACTCTAACAGAAATCTACGGTGAAGTATTATATAAGTAAACTCCTTCATCAAATAAAATAGATCGTGAAATTTTAGAGAAAGAGAGAGACATGGTTAGAGACTCCAAAATCAAAACCTAAGCTCTAATTCATTAAAGCCCTACAAAATAAAAGAAAAGGAAAAAAAAAATAGGCAATTCCAAAAAAAGCATGTGTGCCCGTTAGGCGGCACATGTTGTGCTCTCCATGTGTAAAAATACCCTTCTACTGTATTATTGGAAGTACTGCCATGTTCTCTTTCTGGTAAAGCAATGCATGCAGCTAGCGATGGTCCGACTTGTTGCTAATGAGTATTTTTTTCCCTCTTCTTTTCTCTCTTCTTCCTAAAAAATTACAACTTATTTTTTCTTTTTTGTATTGTAACTTCAATTCTTATTTTTTTTAATTTTTAATTTTTGCTCTTATCCCTTTTCTAGAAATCTTATTTGTTTTCAATTTCATTTTTCAATTCTAATTTACCATATATTATTTTTTTTTCAATTTGACCTTTATTATTTTGATTTTTAATTTTTTTCTTAGCCCTTATATAAAGTTTTTATTGGTTTTTAATTTCATCCTTAAATCTAAATTGATGGTATTCTGTTTTTTTATTTAGTTCTATTTTTGTTATTTCTAATTTTTTTTCTTGGTCTTTTTGTAAAATTTATTATTCTTTTTTATTTCACCCTTCCATCAACAATTTATTTTTATTTCTTATGTCAATTTTGATCCTCATTTATTTGATTTTTTTGGTCCTTTTGCTAAATTGAATTCTCTTTTCAATTTTTATCCTTCAATCAAATATAAAATTTATATTTTTAGTTTTAATTCTCATTATTTTAATTCCTATTTTTTGGATATTTTTGTATAATTAATTTTTTTTTCAATTTTATTCTTTAATATTTAATTGGTTAAGAATTAGATTTCATAATTTTTTTTAAATATAATGCTTTGAGTTTAATGACTTGGGTCATAGGTTTAAAAAGTTAACAAGTGTTTTTTTTTTATAGGTTTATTCCAATCTAATGATGTAGGTCATGAGTTTGGCTAGACATCTCGGGTTTGCTCAACCTTGATTACGAAGGTTATAGGTTTGTCATATTAACTTAGATTGATCAGGATTGGTTTTTTATGTCTTTTGTTATCTCATTTCATTCTTATATATTTAATGGATTGTGAATTGATATATACTATTTGTTTCATTTTGGAAAATTTTTTTGCCTAGGTTAGCCTAATCCCTTTTTTAAAAAAAAATTGATCAATCTACTATTTTTTTTTATTTTTCTAATCTAATTTAAATAAAGTCAATTTATTCAACCCAAGTTGCAATTTTTCTTTTTTAAAAAAAAAAATAAAAACTTGCTGCACTTAAACGTCATTTTCTGCATAACAAAAAGTTTGGCACCGCAATGAAGCACTAGCATCAAGGCTAATATTTCATTGCTAGTTAAATAAGTTCATCACTCATTTACTGGACATTAACTCCATCATTAGTTAACTAGTTCTACTAATAATAATTGGACACTAAATTCATTACCGGATAGGTAGTTGAATTATCTATTACTATGCATTAGTTGTATTACTAGATAGCTAATCCCACTACGTATTACTAGGCACTATATCTAAAACAAGATACTAGTAGTTTCACTATCCATTACCGGATACTAGATCTAATAAAGGATAACTAGTTTCATTGTCCATTATCAAGCACTAGCTCCATTACTAAATAGCTAGATCCATTTACATCAATGCTAGGGAAGAAACCTACCATGTTTATTAAGGCACATTGAATCAACATAAAAATATCAAGGTTTTAAGCACTTATTTACTGTTTGTACTCTTGATGTATCTCCCTACTATTGTACAACTCTTGCGACCTCTCTTATATCAACATATATACCATATTATTTTCATTAAATGGTGATTCCAAAATAATATAATCTAAATTTATTTATTTCAACTTAATCATCATTACAATATGAACACATTGAAACAATTAGAACCAACTAGTCGACTACATGTTACTTGAATTTCATTGATGTTCCTAATGGTTAACCAGTTCAATCAATCAAATTAGACAGTAGCTAATTTCATTTTTGTTTTCTTCTTTCAATAGGTCGATTTGTTCACAAAAAAATTTTAAGTGGTTGACTGGTTTATGCAGTATATTAGATATTACATCTATTTTTTTAGTTTCTCTTTTTCTTTTGCAAAAGTTCACATCATATTAATCTATTACACAAACAACACAATCCAATTTCAAATTTATTCCACTTATTTATGAAAATACCATTAAAACATCTACAAGTTTTTTTTTTTTTGGTTGTTGCTATTATTATACAATTTTCCTAAACTCTGTTTCCTCCAAAATTTTAATTTATGATAAAAAACAAATATGTCAAGAGTCTTCCCATAAAACTTTAACTCGATCTGACATTTGAATTAAGAGTTAGGCTTGATAATATAAAACTAGTTGATAAATGATTTTATATCAAAAATCCACATTTTCTTGAGCTATCCTTTCATGGATCTATTCACTTATTCCACTAAAAACATGACCATTTATTTATTCCAAACACTTATTTTACTTCTTTTCTCTTTTTTATGTTCTTTTATGGAATTATTGCTATTTCATAATAATATTACAATTTTTCAACTAGGATTTTCTCTAATTTTTTTATTTTATTTTATTTTTTTATTTATTTTTCTATTTAAAAATGTTCAAGGGTTTACAGAGATGGTGACATATCGGATCAATCTCGATCAATCTAGATTAATCTATCAAATCTGCAACTTGGTCATAAATTTCATTGGGTTTAATGATTTTATTTAAAAAAAAAACTATTTTTATATAATTATTTGATAAAAAAATATTTTTAAAACCAAGCACTAACTCAATACCAGGATTTCTTATGAGATCACGAGGACCCATAAAAAATCAAAATAAATCATTGAACCCATTTAATAATAATTATGGTTTTTCAAACTATTTTTATTTCATAATATATGGATCATTTCTTTATTTAATAATACGATAGATAAAGGTAGACGAATATAAAACTAATCATTAATTTATTGCTACAATATTTTTATGAGATTATAATAATTTTTTATAAAAAATCAAAATAAATAATAAAATTTAATTTTTAATAAATTTAATATTAAAATAAATATTAAAAACAACATGTTACGGTTTTAATGAATAATAAAGTGTGAGGAGGGGAGTATTGATCTCTCCCCCTCGTTTAGTTCTTGTTAAATTAAAATATAAATAAGAAAAAATAATATATATATATATATATATATATGTATATATTTGAAATTCACTGTATTTGATTAAAAAAACAAAAAATAATATTTGTTTTGACATGTTTTTTTAAAGGATAAAATGATATCATTTTAACTTGAATCAACTCAAATTAAGAATTTATTTATTTTTATATTTTAAAAATATTTTTTTAATTATTTATTTTTATTTTTCCTTTAAATTATTTTTTATATTTTTAAATCGTTTTGATGTGTTAATATTAAAAATAAATTTTAAAAAATAAAAAATATATTATTTCAATGTATTTTTAAATAAAAAATATTTAAAAAAATAATTACTACTACAATATCAAATAAAATCTAACTAATTGAATTCATAAATTAAATCTTAAGCTAGATATGAACTGAGTTTAATAAGTTTATGGTGAAATTATAAATTTAGGAATGATTTAATCCAACAATAGGCACACGACCATTCAACTTGGTACCCCTCCAAACATCGGTCACTCAACAGGTAAAAGTCAACCAGTAACCGTTTTTTCCCCTCTCCTTTTCCCTTGGGCCCACTTACAACACACGTCAATCAACATGGGCACCACCACTCCTCCTCCAACAAGCACGGCGCGTTTGCTTCACCTTCCACAAGGTTCCCGTGGGACAACTCCTAACTCTACAAAACCCAGGGAGTGATGTCCTCTCATTACCCGCCAAAAATGGCAAGTGGACTTTGGAAGACCAACGGACCAAGTCGTATGATCACGCGCTCTTGTCGCTCTTTCTAAGCTTCTCTGATCACCCAATAGAAATCAAGTAAACTACCTTAACCCAACAGGAAAGGGGGAAAGAGCGCAAGGTAATCAGTCCAGCCAATAACAACAAAATCAATTGGAAATTGAAAATTTAATTTACTTAAAAAACTTCATATAAATAAATATTAAAATTATTAGTTTTTTATATTATAAAATTGAGTGGTTTAAAAAATAAATAAATAATATACTAATTTAATCAAAATTAATACTAAAAATTCATAATTATTGGATTTACAAAACTCACTCTCTAATTCTTTCATCCGACGTATAAGATTTTTTTAAAATTATTAATATTTTGATAAAATTATAATGCTATTTTAGAAAACAATTTTCTTAAAAAAAACAAAAACAGACAAAGAAAAAGAAAAAAGGATTTTGGTGATGCGAGATGGAAATAGAACTTTGACAGAGTAAAACAGCATGAGCATGACCATGAAAATAACCCCACAACACCCTACCTCTAATTATAATTATTACTCTTTAATTTATTATTAAAAACACAAAAACAAATCACCAACTGAAAACAGAAACATTAAAAAACAACAACAACAACAACACTTCCGTTTTTGTCTTCTCATATTTTATTGTTTTGAACTTGTCTTTGTTGTTGTTATTGTTAAGGAGCTTTCCCCCTCTTTGAACCCTACATCTTCTTGTAAATCTCATAATTTTAAGGCGGTCAAGCTCCTGATTTCTGCATTGTGAGTTCTTTTTCTTGGCTATTATAAATGTGGAGAGATCCTGGACAGCCTGCTGATTCATATTATCAGGTCCGGCCTGAATGCACGGATGTTCCAAAAACCAGATTCAAAATCAAGGTTTGCGTTAAAGATTTGGTTTTTTCCTTTTCTTTTTCCTTTCTGGACTGCTTTTTGATATTCATGAAGTGCCCATTTGGTTCATGAAGTGCCCATTTGTTTTGTGACGTGCCCATTTGGTTGATGTGGTCATAGTTTTGAGATTTGGTTCTTTGTAGCTTTCTTTTATATTTTTCGGATATCCATATGAATAATATGGATCAATGTTTTGGAATTCGGTTCATTGTGGCTTTATGTTGATATTTGTCGGGCTCTCATCGTTTGGTTAGTTTGGAGTGAAACGGTGTTTGCTATGATGATATGGATCAATGTCTCGCATAAAACGGAAAATATAGCTTACAATATGAAAGTAATGCTATTATGATCATTACTTATGGTTGAGTTCGAGGAAAGATGTTGACTTTGGACCATAGAGGAAATGGTTGCATGATTAACGCATTAAGAAAGGCTCCTTTTTTCTGTTTTATTTTAAAGCCGGGTGGAATAGTCAATTGGATTGTTCAGTTGATTTGTTTAATCTAATTTCAAATGTTTAGTGCGAAAGGATTTTTCCAGCAATAATCACCAATGTAACATAAGCTAGCTTGTTAAACTGGCAAGTCTATATGTACACTTAAGCTAGCTTGTCGTGAAATAGATAAACAATAAGGTCAAACTGTTCAGCTCCAATAGTTCATATTGATTGGTGTTGCCAACTGAACTTAAAACACATTGCTTGTAATGGAAATGATTGCAGCTTCCTTTGGATCCACTTTTGCAGGCAGGTAAAACTCTAAGTCCAAGGAAATGGCAGGCTGCATTTACACCCGAAGGATACCTGGATATAAGCAAGACCCTTAGTCGAATCTACCGTGGGGCAAGTGTTCTTTTAAGAGATCTTATAATCAACTGTGAGATTTAATGCTCATGATTTTTCTTTTCCCTTTTTCTAGGGGATCCATCCAGCAATTAGAGGAGAAGTTTGGGAATTTTTACTCGGCTGTTATGACCCTAAGAGTACATTTGATGAACGAGATGAGATACGGCAACGCAGAAGGTAGTCTGTTTTCTGCTCTTCACAAGTGTAACATATGGGCAACAAACCACAGAAGAGGATCAGGATCTACTTATTTAGTTCAATCAAATTTATTGACCAGACATTGACTTATTAATTGCTTTTCTTTTATTGTGACAATGAGAATTACAGTAATGTGAGACAACTTGGTAATTTCAATATTTGGTTCTTGTCACCATCTAGAACCAGGCTTTTTCTTGGGGCTAGGCAAGTTTGATAATTTATGGACCGTGTCGGTGAACATACTAAACAAAAGATTATGCTCTCATTAGGTTTTTTAATCTGACCCTGGAGATCTCTTACATAATACTATAATGGGGACTTCATCTCCTTGCATGGATATAAATATAATCTAGTTGAGTCAGAATCTTCCCTTTAGAAATGTAGGTCTATTAATTTTGAGTTAAGTACTGTAATTACCCTTACTTGTTGTGCATAAATTCCCTTTAGAAATGTAGGTCTAATAACTTTGAGTTAAGTACTGTAATTACCCTTACTTTTTGTGCATAAGTTCCCTTTAGAAATGTAGGTCTATTAATTTTGAGTTAAGTACTGTAATTACCCTTACTTTTTGTGCATAAACTTCTGAAGCTTTGTGATGCCTTATTCCTACTTTAGAAGACATGTAAAAGTTGTTCTCATGTTGCACCTTCAGGATACAATATATTAGGTGGAAAGAAGAGTGCCGCCAAATATTTCCTGTTGTTGGAAGTGGCAGATTTATTACAGCGCCTGTAATCACTGAAGATGGTCAGCCCATTCAAGAACCGTTAGTAATGTTAGAAACAAATCAAGACAGAGGCCCCTCTGCTGAAACTGGCAATGCAGATGGCAATGGCACAAATCAATCAAGAATAAATGCTTCCTGTTCAGAAATGGTGAGAGAGCTTACTAGCCATGGTCCTTTGGACCAGAAAGTGATCCAATGGCTGCTCACCTTGCATCAAATAGGTTGGTGATGTTCATATATTAATGCGCAGATTTCTCTCTTCATTGGTGCAAAATTAATTCTTGTTCTCCTGTCAATGCAAAGCCAATTTCTTGTTATGCAATAGTTAATGATTAATTGATGTTCTCTCATTAATGCACACATGTTACCTTTAGACTCTGGCTTTAATATTTATAATCACTGTTTTACCTTTAGACTCTCATGCAGGATTGCAGAGTTTGAGTTAAACTTTTCCTCTAATGCTCTGGTTCTTGTTTATGTTCTCTCTTATGGGTATTGAAGTCGTTCCTTAGAGATGGGGCGGAACTGCAATTTTATGAGAAGGAAGGTGGGGATAGGGAATTAGGTAACATTGAAAATGAAACAACAGAGGGAAAGACAGAGTTAATAATATTTGGGGGTGCAAAATTTTTAAGTCCTATGACCTTAAATTGAAGGGTATAATTAAGAATTTTAAGAATGAAATGTGTAAAATATTTCAGAAAGTCTAGGGTGCCACGGCCCCTCCAAACCTCCATGTAGTTCCACCCCTGCATATAGAAAAGATATGAATGTTGCACTCTGTTAATTTGAACCTCAAGATTTATTTAGTCATAACTGCATTATTGTAATCCTGGAATTTTACTTTTTTTTTCTTTTTTCTTTTTTCCTATCAAATGACTCTTTCTGATTGGACCATTATGGGTGGTAGGTCTCGATGTACATCGCACTGACAGGACATTGGTGTTTTATGAGAAGCAAGAGAACTTGTCAAAACTTTGGGACATTCTAGCTGTTTATGCCAGGATTGATACAGATGTCGGCTATTGTCAAGGTAGATGATAAAATGATTGTCATATTTGTGAATTTAATATATATATATATATATATATATATATATATAGAGAGAGAGAGAGAGAGAGAGAGAGTCTCAAGTTACTTCATGTCAGTATAGGATCTTGGCATGTACACTGTTGTCATTTTATTGACCTGATCGACATAACAGGCACATATGATTCAAACACAGTTTCAAAACCTAATTATAGACAAGTGCTAATGCTTGAAATATATGTGCTTGACATTTTTAGATCGTTATAAAAGACCATTCTCTTTATTATTATCCCCATTCCCCTGTAACCTGGATAACCAGATACCTCTTCTCATTCAATAAATAACCATCACTTCTGGCACTTAATTTATAATAGACTAATCAATGATAGTTACAAAACCAAAATACTTTTTTCTTCTTCTGTTTGAAATTCTGTTGACCTGAAAATTAATATTGATATGCATGTACACAGTCATCTACACAATATTACCTTAATATTACATGAGATTTGAAATGATCTGGACGTGATGTATTGGGTTATAATAGATTGAGCTGTAAAGAAATAACTCCACAAATGTCTTCTTTGTCTCTTTTGAATAACTATGTTTGGTTGCTGAAGGTCACAATGATTATGCTACTTTTATAATGATGTGTCTACCTATGTCTACATTGACGTAATGAAGTGTAAATTCTAAAATCTCAAATGCACGAATGGTGGACAGGAATGAGTGATCTTTGCTCACCCATGATAATGCTGCTTGAAGATGAAGCTGATGCATTTTGGTGTTTTGAACGATTGATGCGCAGATTGGTACTTTCTCTTCATTTTCTTTGTCTCTCAATTTTGTGCACAAGATACTTTACTGTGTGATGGTGCTCTTGGATAAAGCACATTGGTTTTTTTTACTATTGTTGTACTGGATTCTTATTGCATAGAAGTGGATGATAAGTTTAATTTTCTTTAGGTTATTTGAATTTTTATACTTGATGAATCACTTGATGGTTTCGACATTCATATCTCATGAGTTAACTACCTCTTCATGTCCTTGTGGATTTTCAAGCATTTATTATATTGCGTACCTTCATAAATTGGTTCCTGACCTCCATTGCACTGATCACTTGTTTTTCTGCTTTTGTTAGTTATTTGGGATTTATTTTTCTCTGAGTTGAAATAACTTCTATGATCAATCAAAATGCTCTTGGAGGTTTCCACAGCTCTAGCTTCAGTTTTTTTTCCTTTTGATTTCCACATTCTCATGAATTTATATTATTTGAAATTTTGTAGCGAGGAAATTTCAGATGCACTGAGAGCTCTGTTGGAGTGGAGACACAACTTAGTAATTTGGCCGAAATTACTCAGGTTGTCGATCCAAAACTTCACCAGCATTTAGGTATTGTCTTAAATTTATGCTTTCCTTGTTATGTGTTTTAAACCAGCCTCTATTTTATACAATATACTGATTGTTAATTCTTAAATCCCATTCAGTTTAAACGTTTATTATTCTTTACCTTTTCTTTTTATTAGCACTTACCAAAAGAAGATATAGATTATTGAGAAAGAAAAAGATAAAAAATTTTGTTACTTTGGAATCTTGAGTATGACCAATGGATGAATGCCTTAATGTCACTGTTCGTTGCCTTGTTGCATAAAGAAAAGGGACAGCACCTGGAGAATTTTTAATTGATTGTCTGTGATGAAAGTGTTTCTCTATGTTTTTGCTCCTGCAAGGTGGCTTGTTTGCATCAGTGGACCTACACATACCTTTCGAGGACTGGAACCCCCAAAGTTTTGTCAATTTTAAAATAGCCCTTAGGGTTGAAGTATCATGATTGATGTCCCTATCCCAACCAAAAAAGAAAAGGAACAATTATAATCAACAATATCCCTTACATTTTAGTTAGCATTCATTCATACTGTTCATTTCATGGCAGCTTTGGTCCCCCTGAACTTGAGTTCCTATAAAATTGGAACAAGTTCTTCAGGAAAAAACAAAATAAGTATTTGCTTTATAACCCTTTAAATACCATTTTTTAATATCTAGATGCTCCATGGGAACAAGGTTACAGGATTAAGAAAGCTTGATCCTATGTGTACATGAGTGTTTGCCTCAGTGTGGTATCAGCCATGATATGGAAACCAACTTGTGTTATGATCTGCCTTTCAGATTGCAGTTTTCAGCTGTGATTCTTTAGCAATAATAACATTTTTATGCTGTGATTCTTGTCATAGTTTTTAACTTTTCCGAACTTTCTTCATTTATGCTGAAAAAATAAAGTAAAGATTTGTTTTGATCTTTGAACACAGATGCACTTGGTGGAGGCGACTATTTATTTGCTTTCCGTATGCTCATGGTTTTGTTCCGCCGAGAATTTTCATTTTGTGATTCACTCTACCTTTGGGAGGTATGATTCAAGTTCGCTATATTATTTTAGTTTGATTTATTGAAAAGAGTAGGTATATTCAAGTATTTTTCAGATTGCCTGTAATGAAGGCAATGTAAAATTCTATTTTTTTTCCTTTTAATTTAAAGCTATGGGTAGAACTGTTTATCTACAGAATTGGTCCTGTCAAAAGTTCAGAAAACTCGTTATAAACTGATAATGTCCGATAAGCCTCCACTCTGTAGCTACAGAATGTTGTAACAAGTCAATGGTACCTGTATGGTGTTTTTCTTTTAGTTTCTTTAATCCCGAGCCTATATGTTCATTTTCTTTTCTTTTATCTTTTGTTTGTTTTCTGTCATGTATATGCATCTAGAGATGCAGGCAAAAAGGTTTTTTTTTCCTTCGTAAACTACGTTATCTTAGTTACTTACCTCTCTGCTTGCAGAACATAAAATCTGCACCTTCTTATATGCGCATTCTTTTCTACAGATGATGTGGGCCCTTGAATACGACCCTGATTTGTTCTCTGTATATGAAGAGCCGGAATTGAATGGTGAGAAAGCTGAGGGATCTAAGGGAAGAACAAAGTCAATACGGCACTATGGGAAGTTTGAAAGGGAAAATATGAAAAATGGGGCAGTGAATTCTGAAAGCCCCCTTCCCATCTCTATTTTCCTTGTTGCCAGCGTATTAAAAGATAAGAGCTCTACGCTTTTGCAGGAGGCTCGGGGCCTGGATGACGTTGTCAAAGTAAGCTTGATGAGTTGATTTGTGCCCTATGCTTTAGACACCTATAAAATACCATATAGTTTAGGAAGGACAATGCACCACCAAGCAGAAGCATTTAGGAGAAAGTAAATAAAAGTGGAAGTGTTTAGTAGTGAAGACGGTCCACGAACCCTAGAAGTTTGCATGCAGGGGGTAATGGGTGGTCGCTGCAGCTTGAGCATCACCCTTTCTGCAAGCATGCGTCTCAAGAAAGATTCAAAGCAGCCCCCATTTCTTGCTCTAGTTGCTATAGTTGTCTGCTGAGGATCAGTCTCAATCCCAAGCATGACATTGTTAGGTGGAGTCAGAAACTGAAAATGTGGCCAAAGCTTGTCTGTTAACATGGGGATAGTTGAATGAGTCCTCCCCAAGTTATTCAACACATCCACTTAACCAACAGATCAACACTGACCGTGCTTGTAGGTTTCTAACGTTCATTTATGTTTGCTTCTAGTGTAGATTTGTAGCAAGAAAGACAGCATAAAACTTGCAAAACGTTTTTATTTTTTGGTAAATAGCAGTGCATGTACTACCTAGATAATATTCCACGAGCTAGCTCCTGTGCTGTGAATCAATATGATTTTAACCTGTTTATTTTCTCATTCATTTTCTTTTGCAATGCCTTTCAGATATTGAATGACATGACTGGAAATTTAGATGCCAAGAAAGCATGCAGCAGTGCTATGAAACTTCACAAGAAATATTTAAAAAAGGTACTTTTCTTATCTTGGAGTGCTGCTATAAATCCTGATGTTGCATTTGAAATGTTCAATTAGAATTAGAGAGAGCAAACAGTTGGAAAAAAAAATCCAGAAAAACAGAGTCAAAACTTTGTATCAAGCCTTTTTTGTCCTTAGTTTTTCTTAGCATTTTGTTTCTATATCAAATAAATATTCAAAGGGCAGGGAGTAATACCATTTAGCATTTTCTTAGCACAATGTCCTGCTTCCAATTGCTTGCTGATGATTTCTTTTTTATTGCCAAGGCAGTTTATATACATGTTTTTTTCCTGGGGATTCTCAGCTGCTTGTTTATTAGCGAAGTTCTTTTTGGTTATTTCTTGAACTTACAGTCATTCATGCTCTTGCAGGCGAAGAAGCCATAGCCTACAATGAAACACATGATTTTTTCCCCAGCTGATAAATATTGGGAAGCTTTCATTTTGTATTTTAAACTTTCAATCGATGCGGTATACTCCCACACAAATTTTGGCTTGGAGATACCAAAACTTTATTATTGCTCCAACCTGCAAGATGGTCTTGCAGAAAGTAAATTGTTATCTGTAAACCAGCCTCTTCAACATAAGAATCCATGTACAAATACAACCATGTATCCATCCATTTTGTGTTAACATATACATTCTAACTTGATCATCAATGAAATACAAAGAAAATCATTTGCGTGTATGGGACTTGATCTCTATTTCTCTGTTAATGTTCTTGTTTTAATGGTTTTCCCTGTCAAAAATGGACAAGCGGATGAAGATTGTAAAGCATAAATTCCTTAGATTGAAAAGTTTCTTGTAGTCTCCCATGCAAAACCCCTCTGGGACAGGGATGAGTTCACCATACCGTGTAATTAAATTCTTGAACCTACTTGAATTTTCTCCACGATGGACTCTTAACAAGTGCTAGAACCCAGAAGGCAGCAAGATGCTGATATCACATAGCTTGACAAGAAAATACATAACTCTGAGTTCTTGATTAATCTGAAAACTATAATTATAACCTTTTTAAATTATTGTATATATGATAATGGAATCAAATCCAATTGTAGAATCTTTCAAGGCAACATGATTGATCATGAATTGATGGAATTTGTGTATTTGATGTATGATCACTACTAGTGTTTTCGAACTATGTTTATGGACTTTAGATATTGTAAATCTTCTACGAATAGACTATTATGCAATAATAAAACACATATAAGAGGGAAGTTCGATGATTTCATGCAATCTTTCTTTTATGGTGTTTTAGGATTATTAGATCTCTCATCATTAGACTCTTCAGCCACCACAATTGTACTGAGATAGGTGAAAATTGCTTTTATATATATATATATATATAAACTCATGCATGTAGGCATATTCTATGCTCTCACACTTAGATTTTTTAAAATAATTGGATGTGGGAGGCCACACAACACAGCGTGTTAGTTTTTTTAAAAAAAAAAAAGTTGAGTAGTTTTTTTTATTATTTTTTTAATTTATTCTTTAATATTTAATTAATTTTGAATTAATCTTTTTATTTTTTATCATATAACTAAATTAAAAAAATTATTAAATTTAATGAACTTAGCTCATGATTTTCACGGAGTTGATCCGAGTTGATCTAATATATTATTGTTTTAATATTTAAAAAAAATTATTTAAAATTTTTTAAAAAAATAAAATTATGTTTTTATCGATTATTTCAGTTTTTTTAAAACCTAGCAACTGTGTTATTATTTTTTTACTTATCATTTAATTTTTATTTCCTTTGATTTATTATTATTATTATTATTTTATTTTTAAATTTATTAAATTAATTGAATTATATCGAAGAAATAATTTTTGTAGGACTTGATTTGTCAAGAGTTTTTAGTTTGATTCATTAAACCGTACTGTAAGAAGTAACCTAGTCAAAATCTATTTCCTTTACCTAAACTTCAAAATTCATGTGTTGGTGACCAGATAAAATCAAAGTTATTAAATCTGACTCGGGATTAACTTAGTGAAAGATCATTATGGGTTGTATGGGTTAGCAAAGATTAATAAAAAAAAAAATAAAGATAAAAATGATATTATTTTAAAAAAATAAAAAACAATGAATTTTAACCGAATCAATTAAAATACAAGTCAACCAGAACTTTTAACCAAGTCACCGAATCAACTTTCAAATAATTTTTTTTAAACTCATCCTAGGTCAAGTCCAAGCTCGACTTGCGAGGCCACTGGGTGAAAGGGCAAAACTGTGGTTTCAGTAAATCGGCTGCATGAAAAAAAGCAGATCAGCATATATTACTTGACTTGGCAAAACATCAACACTTGCAATGGAATATCAAGGTTTTTTTTAGAAAAAAGCCCCAGATAATAAGCTGGTCTTGTTAAGTATAATCTGTTTCAATTGATATTAGAGAGGTTCAAATTGGAGCCCCCAGCAGGTGGTCTTAAAAAGTTTGCCATGTTAAATAACAATTGAAAACATTTTCTCCATTTCTTAGTCTCTGCAACTTCAATTATTTCCCTTTTGATGGAATAAACTACCGAAAGCCCTTCATTATGTTCCTATCTTAGGACAAGAATATGGCATTCTTAGTTTCTGTGAAACAACGTTGTCTGAGCTGAATAAGCAGAAATATTTCATAGCTTTAAGAAACATGAGTTGCTGAGATTCATAAAGCTAAGACAAACCTTGCAGGCTGCAGAAATCTTATTTCAGGATAGAATTGCAAAATTAAACTGTATGGTCTCATCATTTGATGCGAAAATCAAGAACTCTACGGATCAAATGGACTGAAAGTTATTCTATTACCATTAAAACATCATCAAGGCATGCTAGATAAACAAAAAGACAGGTATGGAATCGGTATACAGAGGGCAATTCATCACTGTTTTGCATATAATTAACTGCTGGTAGTAGTTGGAGTTACGTAAAAATTATGATACTTTTTTCAGTTTTGAACTTGGTTACAACCTTTCTCATCTTCCGTTTGATATTCAACTTCAGAAGATACAGGCCCTGGACTCATTGTTGCATCATGCTCCATTTCTTGTCACAGACTTCTTCCTGCTCCGCTGCTGAGGCAGAAAAGTTGTGTCATGAGCAAGAAAGTGGTTGCTGTCTAGTCTTTACAAAAGTGCTAAAAAGCTTTCATTGAAATAGATACAGGCAAGACAAATGCTCACCCAAGCGAATTCCATACAAAAAAAAAATAAACCGGAATTTTAACCTTGAAAGATGATCAATGAAGGTGATCTGTCATCGTAATGAAAGTCATGATTGCCATGATTATGACTGTGAGGAACTTAGAAGGAGATTTTTGCTCTGCAATCGACAGGGGGATTTGCTTAGGCAGAGCACACTCTTCTCCATTGAAGAGTATTCTTGTAGGAAACCCATCACCCCGTGCTATATTTATGCCTGGGGTATGTTTTTTGGTAAATGATATCTTAGTTTGTTGCTTTCCAGGAATCCTTGGATCTCCTGGTTTAGTTCCATTTACCTCTCCCACCAAGAAATTCAAACCTGGTAGGCCTTGAAGCAAGATAGTTTTGTTGAGGTTGTCAAACGAGGTTCCGTTGAAGGAATACACACCTTCAAGGCCCTTATAGGCTTTGTTTATTTGGATTGCAGAAAACCAATCCTCGAAAGGAGAATCATCCCAGTTGAAAAGAGTGACACTAGCAGTCCATCCAGTCTTGTAATCAGAGTCAATATGCCAATTGATGCTAACTGGACAATTATCAGGACATGGTCTTGGGTTTGGAACTTTGAATTTATTGAGATCAGCCCATGCTAATGCCTTGGTTGTCCTGTTATCAAAAGGCACAAGAAGACTCTCTGCTGGGAGAAGCATTGCTCTTGCAGTCTTGCTGCAACCTTTATTATTGTCACAACCACAGGCACAAGTATTGCAGGGAATGGCAGATCTGTTGTAATAAGCAGAGAAAGAAACACAGCATCGTGAAAGCTTCTCCTTCGGACGCGTTATGTTGCAAGTCACTTGCCAACTTGCAATAGCATAAGTTGTAGAATCAAGTCCACTTGAATCAGGAAATTCTGTTGGATCTACTCTGATTGGAGGGCCACATTTGTATTGAGGATTGACTACTCCATCAATCTTCCATTTCTCGGGTGGTACAAGGGCAGTCCTGTTCAAGAAAGGAGGCATCTTGTAGACTTGCAATTGGAATATGGACCTTGCCTTGCTCTCATCCATTATAGATGGCAAAAGGGTACCATTTCTACAACAGTATGGCAACTTCCCAACTTGTGAATCATTTTTTCTTTCCGGAGGAAGATCTGCGATGACTGGCTTTTTTTCACAGTTCATAACAGTGGAGAAGTCTAGATCTTTGTAATATTTTCCAGCAGGACCGTAAACGCATTCGGAAAAGTCTCTTTTGTGAGTGTAGGCTCCTCTCATTTTGGAAATGAACTCTCCATTCATCCATTCCCAGGTTAAGTTCCAGTGATCAAGCCGGCCTAATGGATTGATATTATCAATAGTAACTTGGGCCTGGTAGTTGCTACCGTAGGCTTGAAGCACATCGTAAGTGAGAGAGAGATCCCCGTATTGACGAGGCAAGAATTTGAGCATTTTCTTGACAACCTTGGCTTTTGGATCCTTCTTACAGCAAACTTGCATGTAGGTTTTTCCTAGAAGGAAAAAAGGAAAAGAAAATAAACTATGAAAATTGATTTTTTGGAAACTTCTGCTGCAATTTGTGACATGTTATCAAACATGGGTTTATATATATATATGACAGCTGAAAATTGTAGCAATGTTGATTGTAGACTTTTGATGACATTTATGAAGCATGATATGGAAAAACATATAAAATTTATCTGAAATAATTTTGCTTCAGTGTGATCGTTGGCATGTGGCGAGAAGAGGGCAAGAACTCAGATTCAAGTCCCTGCCTTTTGGCCTGGTCGGGAAACAAGAGAAGAAAAGGAAACAAGCTCTCTGTATGAACAGAATCTATCTAAATAGCATAAAGATAAACCAAGTGCAATGCTTAATTTGAACGAAAAAACATGTCCATCAAGACATGAGGATTGTTACCTTTCGAAGTTGCTTTAGGGCATTTGTACCCAGCATTAACAAGCTTTATATTCTTTGGCATAGGCACTCCTGGTGGCTTAATTCCAAATACCGAGCCTGTAATCTCAATCTGTGCTGAAATCTGGGTGAAATCTCCTGCTGTGTCAATTGCGGTCTTCAGGTCCGTCATCGGATTTCCTGAGAAGGTTGTCCCATTGCCAACTTCCAAAGGGAAATCATCACCATCGACGACGATTGCCCCGGAAGCAGAGACTAAAATTTCTTTGTGCTGAAAGCCTACAAACATTTGCCAACCCTTTAGTTCATATTGGCCTGTATTGGTTATCGTTGCCAATGATTTGAACGCCCATGCCTGTGCGGATGCATTCTTTACCCTTGGATATTCTTTTTCGCGGGATATGAAAGAATAGGTGAGAAATAATCCATTGCATTCATCCAGGCCCGGTGGTGGGGCTGCAGGATTTTCATAATCATCGGTTTGGCCATGGCAAGCATGAAAGAGTACAGATGATAAGGCAATGAGAATTAGCATTACCAGTTGCCATGGAACCTCCAGTCCTAAATTTGCTTTCATTTTCTAGTTTCTTGCAGGGCAAGAATGAATTTATTTTTTCAATAAAAAAATATAGAGAGGGAAAAAATAAAAAGTGTGGTTATGGGTTAGCTGGTGGTGAATTTGCCGCGTTCGAGAACGCGGCTATGAATGAGAAATGGGCAGTCACTGAGAAGGGAAACCCAAGTTAGAGTGAGATGAGAAGCTTATAAATTGGAATAGAGATAGCCAAGACCGAGTCTTATACCAATTCTCTTCCTCTAGTTTTCACGGTTGGTTCGGAGGTGGAGGATGTCAGCAGGGTTATTACTATTTTTAGAGGGTAATTACTGAATTTAACTGCAATATAAATCTTTCTTTTCTTATATATATATATATATATATATATAAACAAAAATTGCATTGTCAAAATGATTCCAAGGGACCAAAAACTAACCTGAGCCAGCTCCCAAAGAATGGATTCTGTTACCCTTCTGCCAAGTGATTTTGAGTTTATGGTCTTTCTGCTTCCATGGACAAGCAGGCTTGTGTCCAGTTGGCTCTAAGTCTCTTCTTAACTGGCCAAATATGCAGCAACAGCCAGGGCGATATCAGCTGCGAGGGAGATCGATGATTAATCATCTCCCTCCTCTTTCTATTCTAAAGCTCCATGTTTCAATCAACCATAAGCTTTCTTGATTAACAAGGGATGATAGAACTTGTTTTGATGGATAACAGCAGATGATAAACAGCCGACTTGGATGGTTTTCTTTTGTAAGGAAAACATGTTTCTGAACTAGCTAAAAACACGTCCGAAAATTGCAACCTTAACCATGTTTTTCGATTTGATGGAGTTTCCATCAAATTTCTTTTCTTATCGGCATGAACCCCTGCTAGAGAAGTATAACTGGTAAATTTTGGTCAACCAGGAAACCTGAAACCTGTTTTACATATCTGGAGATTCGGTTTCTGTAGAACCAAAACAAGTTTCAGTCAAGAAACGGGACAGGACTCGAAAAAACACAGCTCAACCATCAGCAATCAATGCATTCTTCAAGAACGATCAAGCGTATCTGATATGAAGGGTTTAAACAAAACAAATAGGATTGGCAAGTCCAGTTAAGCTCGGAAACATTTCCTGAGTTTTTCCCACGTAAAACCTACAGCACTCTGCCTGCACATTGACTGCTTCATGGTCGTTTTCTTTTCTCTTTTATACATCACAAAAAATTGAAAAAGTTCTAATATTTTCTGTTGATGGGGCACCATGATTTTCTTCTATCTATATGACGCTAAGTCAGGAAATACACCAACTCAAGCAACAGTGAGTTCTTCTGCGTTGCTGATTTCCTCAACAAACTGTGCTTTTGGCTCCAAATCAATGAATTGATTGGACTTGCTTGCCAGATGCGAGATGCTAACCCTCCCTTGCCGCTTAATATAGTCAGCAACAGCTCTCATCTCTTCTTGTGAGATGTATATGTATTTTCCTCTATCATCCATGACACCAGAAAGTCGCCCTGATACAAAATTAAATCTAACATTAAGTTTCTAATCAAGGGTACCGAACCATCTTAGAGAAACTCAACTCTGCATCAGAAACTATTTACTGAAGAAAGAATATATTTACTTTGCATCAATCAATGGCTAGGCACATCATTGCAAACTAAACCACGACGGAAAACAATGGCATTCCAGTGGTAATGGGTAATTACATCTTCTTCTTTTTGGCATTTCTTTTTCTTTTAAAGAAACACCAACTAGACTTTACCACAGTTTTAATCAGAAAAGATGATTTAAGAGTTGTTTTTCATTATAAATTATAGCTAGATGGTGGAATGTTAAAGGATACAGACCAACATGCCACAATCAACCTGTAGAGAAGATTCTACAGTATAAGAGCAAAAATTACAGAACCAACCTTACATTAGAGAAGATAAAGACTGGATAAAACTAGACAGAGAAAAAGGGCAAATTCAATAAAGATATTTATACATGTGAGGGTATTGCAAGAAGAAGGTTTAGTTTGAAAATTTGATAATAAAGTTCCAGAACCCAAAGTGGAAGGAAAATAAAAAAGCAGAGAAGTAATTAAAGCAAATTAAACCATGAAAGGTTGCACAGGACACTAAAGATTGCTTAAAACATATATGCAATGAATAAAAGAGATGCGAGAACACATACCCATACTTTCCAAGGAGGTGATCCGGTTGATACATTCCTGAATTAACCAAAGGTATTAGGCACCCATATTAGCATGAGAATAGGACAATGATGTCATATTTACATGATTTAACTCCTTACTTGGACAACCAGATGCATATAATGAAACAACCAGTGAATGAGGATTGTGAACAAATTAAGCTCAGATCTATCATTGTTCAAGAACTACCATAATTTAGTATATGCATTGCTACTGTCAAATTAGATCCTTATATACAATTGTGTCCAGAAGGATGAAATGGGAATAATGGGGAGTGATTTAGAAAGAGTACCTGAGTTCGGAGCTTAAATTCTGCAGCAAGATCTTCCAAAGGAAGACATTTATGTTTCTGCAAGATCATATTAAAGAAAACAAAGCAAAAAAATGAGCAACATAACAACTTTCACTTTGATTTTTGAAACCTTATAATCACTAATGAAGTTTCTTTTTTACCAACAGCAGATCACAGTGCATGATAGCAGATAAAAGTAAGATAATTTTTAAATGTTTGCTGAACTACTAATACTTCACATTTGATTGAGAAATTCATTTGCTCACATTACAGGGAGAAATTAACAACTAAACTTACCAGCAAGAAAAACTCACATGTTTATCATGAATTAAAGGACAAATAACTTAACGAGAGAATTCACTAAGTGCAGGACTGAGAGTACCTTTATGTATTCCACAAAATCAGACAACAAATCCTGATTTCCATCTTGCAAATCATTTCCTGTTGATCCTTCAGCATCCACTGAAAACTCTCCTTTCCATTTATCAAACTCTAACGCAGCAGTTTCCTCCTCCTTGGCCTGTCGAGCCTTGGCTTCTTCTTCCTAAAGAATCATGACAAATTTCCTCAACAAGGAATCCAACAATTGATATCCCTAAACATCACAAAAGGAAAGCTAAGCGACCCACTAGCATGCGCTCTTTCGCCTCACGTTCTTCATCCTTCCTCCTCCTCATTTCTGCATAACGGTCTTGTTTGGTGAGCCTTGAATCATGTGCCGCTTCCTCAGCCTTCACAACAATAAGTAGCTTTGTCAAGTCAAATACCGACACTCCAATAGAGAGGGGGAAAAAAGAAAAACGCAGAAAATCAGGACCAAAAAAATAGTACAACAATCAGTTTCCTTTATCACGCTTTTCCTCTATGCCTCACCTGCTCTTAAAGCTACTCTAGATTCTTACACCTTGAAGGCAACTTCACTAAAGTTCAGGCAAGGAAAAAAAAACCGCTACTTTTCTTGAAAAAATCTTAAGGAAAGTAAAAGCGCACCTGTCTTTGTGCTTCCCTCTCCTGCCGTTTCTTCTCCTTCTTCGATGCCTTATCATCATGATTAGCACCACCAACAACTTCATCATCACTTTCAGCACCAGCATCTGCACGCTCCACAATTCCATAAACTCAAGACAAACACCAATTCCCAAATCCCGCAGCCAATCATTCAACATGGAAAACACAAAAACACTGACGTATTCACACATCATAATACACTTTTACATCTCCTTGTAACTAAGAACAACACACGGGACAGGATAGGGCATGCCAATCGAAACCAATTAAAAAAACGCACACAAACAAACACGCGCCTGGAATCCAACAAATTTACATTCAACTAGAAGTGCAGAATCTTCAACAAAAAAAATAAAAACACTAAACCTTCGACAGTTGCTTCAACATTTCTTGATGAACTCGCTCCAGCTGCTGGTCTTCTACGCATTCTACGCGTACCAGTTGCACGCGCCACTGTCTCTCCTCTCGGAACCTGAAAAACCCCAAAAAAAATCATTTCTCGATTCTTTAAACCATAAATATCTAGAAATTTCTTAACCTTTAAAGATTCCTAACAAATTGTAACCACTGACTGACCTGCCGTTCTTCTTGTTGTTGCGGTTCGTCTTGCGATCGATCTTGACGGCGTTTCCATAGATATAACGGTATTAAACCGACGACAAGAAGCATTGAGAGAATCAAAACAAATAATTCTTCCATTGTTTTATCAAATTACGATTCAAATTTTTTTTCCCTAAAGATTAAAAATTTTCTCGACAACCAAACAGACCTTTTGAAAATTTTAATTCTAACGCGAGAATTATTCTTTTTAGAGAAAAAATGAGGGAAGAGAGATTAAAAGGAACTGCTACTGCTCAGACGACGTGTCAATTTCATGACAAAGTTGACAAGGTAAAAAAAGAACGGCATGTACATAGAGTATTTTAATGTATTGGATGACGTGTCGTCCTGTTCCAGCTTCATTATTTTTATTTCTTGCTGGTTCCACCGGTACTCTTTTTTTCCAGGCTGCTTCTCTTCTTCAATGGAAAAACTGAGGAGAGTAGTGAAGGAGATAGCCGACGCGCAAGACTACACTAAGCTCTCTGCACTGCACCGATCTTTAATTCCTATCCTCTCATTAGCTTCCTCACTTTACGGAGTTGTTCTCTCTATCCGCCACTATCTCTACCACTTTGGCTTCTTCTCTAAGCACAGGTATGCATGACCCTACTTGCTGTTTGGTCTCTGATAAAGTACAAAAAAAGAAGAGAAAATGAAAGAAAGCTTTGATTTTTTATTATTTTGGCATGTGGGTTTTTCGTGGTTTCTAGTAAGTTTTTATCTTCTCCTTTTTTAATTTTTGTTTGCCTTTGCCATTGTGCGTGACTAACAAGAGCGTAGCTTAGGCTAGGAAAGTATATTTTTCTATTGGTTTTTGCTGTAATCTGTTTATTTTTGAAGGTTGCCAGTGCCGGTGATAAGTGTTGGCAACTTAACATGGGGAGGAAATGGGAAGACTCCAATGGTTGAGTTCATTTCTTCTTGGTTAGCTGATTCTGGAATTTCACCTCTCATTCTTACTAGGGTATTTTAACCTTTTTCTCTTTTTTGGTTTCATTTTACCTAGTTAATGATTACATTTCCTACTGGTTAATGATATGATGATTGCTAGCGCGACTTTGCAATCTAGTCTCAGCGTGTGGGTTCGCACATTGGCGTGCATGAACCAGATTGCATAGTAATGACAAGTGCAGATTTGCTTAGTGTTTGTGTAGTTCTATGGAGCCATTGGCTTAGTTGAGAGATTAATGTTTTCTTCTATTGTTGTCAGGGTTATGCTGGTGGAGATGAAGCTAGGATGCTTGCTAGGCATCTTCGTGGGAAAGCAGTAAAGATTGGTGTTGGTGCAAATCGAGCTGTTACTGCTGCTTGCTTATTTAAGCGACATGGTTATGTAGATCCTCGTGATTATTTAGTTGAGGGCAAATGGCATGAACAGAAAGAGAGAAGTCGGATTAACTCAAGAAAAGTTGGTGTTGTGGTTTTGGATGATGGAATGCAGGTACTGTTTCCTTCATGTTTTTTCTATTATTTGTGTGATTTTGCCTTCACTCTCTCCCTGTTTGCTTGCATATACATGCTTACGTTCAGTAATTCGTGTGCATTTGTTTGTATTACATAACTCTGTGCAGCATCAGGCTGTACTTGCTTATTTTTTAACCTGTGCTTTGATTTTTCTCACCCAAGTACTGTTCTTTATCTATCTATGGGAAATGCCTGTCTATGTGCCTTCTGTCTTTAATTTATTGTCTCGATAAGCTGACCCAAATATAGTGTGATTCTTATATTGTGAATTGAAGTCATGTTCAGCCAATTGATTGTTAATAGTCCTCTAATCATGAAGAAAGAAATATGTGGCTTATACATATGCTGGTAATGATAGTTTTTATTTACATGGAAGATAGCACTGGAGCCTGCAGCGTGACGTAGAGATTCTCATGGTTAATGGACTAACACCATGGGGAAATCATCAAATACTTCCACTTGGACCTTTAAGGGAACCTTTGAAAGCCCTCGGAAAAGCAGATGTTGTTGTAATTCATCATGCAAACCTGGTACCTACCACTGATTTTTTCATAGTTTGTCGGTGTTTTTTAAATTATGTTTCATTTAAAATTCTGCTTTTCTTGATGCTCTAAAGAACATAATTCTTTTACCACTCATGTTTAAGATGAAAAAAAATATATATTTTTTTATTTATGAGCAGGAAATTGATTCAAATATGTTGAAATAAAAGTTTTGCTCAGGTTTCGGAGCATAATCTCAGATACATCAAGTTAATGATGCGAGAAGTTAAAAAATCTCTTCCTATTTTTTTCACTAGAATGTCTCCCTCACACTTCTTTGAAGTAGGAAATATCAACACCAGAATACCATTGGATATCTTATGCAATGGTGTTGTGCTATGTGTTTCTGCAATTGGTTCTGCAAATGCTTATTTTTATTTATGAGCAGGAAATTGATTCAAATATGTTGAAATAAAAGTTTTGCACAGGTTTCGGAGCATAATCTCAGAGAAATCAAGTTAATGATGAGAGAAGTTAAAAAATCTCTTCCTGTTTTTTTCACTAGAATGTCTCCTTCACACTTCTTTGAAGTAGGAAATATCAACACCAGCATACCATTGGATATATTATGCAATGGTGTTGTTCTATGTGTCTCTGCAATTGGTTCTGCAAATGCTTTTGTGCAGGGGATAAAGAAGGTATTTTGCCCCTTTAGCCATTTGATCTTAAATATTATTTGCTTAATTATTTTATCTGGAGAATCTTCACTCATTTTAATGGAAGTCCAATAAAGAAAAAATACTGGGAGACAGATTACAGGTGATATATTATTCTTAAATCCTTGCCCCTTGTTCCCCCCTACTGTTATGTATTTTTATCTACAAATGCGGGGTGTTTCCTTGGCAGATGGGAACTTTGTATGTTGATCGACTTGATTTCAGTGATCATCACTCACTCCAAGACACGGTACAATGCCCATACTCTCCAGTCTAAATTTTACACTGCTTTATACACGCGCTTCAACATTTTATAACTCAAAGATGCTTATGACTGTTCTTTATAAGTTCAAATTTAATCTTGAACTTAACATCAGTGACCATTTAATCTCCTGAATCTGTCTTTTAGTTTTGAGACTCTTTGATTGCATATGCACAATTGAACTTTTGTGGGAGGCAAATTCATTTGTGAGATATATCATGATTTAGATTGCCTCTACTGGCAGTATCCATATTATCAGTACAACTCATCCCAAAATGCTAAGTAATTGTTCAAAAAGAAGGGGAATAATAGCGAGAATGAATTAAAAATGAAATAGCACGTGATGTATACCAGCATATTATCTCATCCCTACTCGCCTGTTGTTGCTTGTGGTACCAATTCTATGTCAATCTTATTTTCCTTTTGTCACTTAATTTAGGACATTGAGATAATCAGAATGAAACTCAAAGAGCTGGAGGATAAGTTTGGCTCCATGCCAGTTGTTGTCATAACAGAGAAGGTAAGCAGGTATTTATTGTTCTTGGTTGGTGGTTCCATGCTAGTTGTGCTTGATTGCAACACTGCTATATCTTTTTGCCCCTAGCTTATTTAGGAACACTAAAGGGACATATGCTACTTGACTTCGTTTGACATGCATGTCTGATTTATGGTACATGTAATTTGCAGTTTATTTACTTTCACTGGCAAGACACCTTCCCTTTAAATGGAAATGAGCATACTTAGTTTTCTTTCCTGATGAGAATGCTTGTGCAGAGTTTAGACCATATTAAAACTAAATTGATTGTAAATTCCTAGGCCATTGAAGATGTAAATTATTTAAATAGGAATTTTAAGAAAACAGCTCATTACTTTGTGTGTATTTATTATTTTTCTCCATTGAATTACCAGGATTATGATAGAGACCCTGAAATTCTCAGGCATTTGAGTCCTTATAAAGTTATGGCACTCTGCTCAGAATTGCAAATCATTCCTTGTAGAGGCAACGGGGATGATGATTTCAAAAAGCTGTTGAAGGAGCTGGTGGAGGTAAAAATTTTAGGAAACCAGAACTAGCTTTCAGATACCAACTCCTATAGGGTCTGAGCACAGATTAATTGATCCACCAGTTTTATTTATTCAAATTTTATTTATGGAAAGGTCTAAACATGAGCAAATTATGTCTCGAACTTGGTACACTAGAATGCAGGGCATGACACAACAACACATGCTATTTAAATCCATGAGGGGGGTGCATGCTTTTCCTGTATTACAGTCCTTGAGTAAAAGAAACTCCAGTGGATTCTAGCCAGGCTCCTCCTTGTATCAGCTCTGCCACAGTGACTTGCTTGGCCTCATTTGGATCACTAATGACATGATATCCAGGCCGATTCACTCTTTTGCTAACACCTGCACCTGGCTTGCTATTTGAAGACTTGCCATAATACAATGTTTTTAATGCAAAATCCATGCTCCATTCTGCCCAAACGGTACGATTAACAAGTCCCCCAATATAAGATTGCACAACTACAGCACGTAGGAACTTTTTCTGCCCTAATTCAAGATCAGTGTTTGGAATAATGATACAGTTCTGGATTGAGATCCCATTATTTTGATTTGGATCAATCCTATCTTATGCAGTGACCATGTTCTTTGGTTTGCCATAGGCTCCTTGCAATGAGAGCCGCAGCTTGGTGCTTTTCTGGTCCTGTATTTTGGAACAAAATTTGCAAATAGTGCGGCTTAGACCAAAAACAATGCCTAATTAAAGAGTTAGTTTTGGAATCTTTGTAATGCCTAACAATACTGCCGCATAAACAAATGCTTAAACAACAACAAATACCAAGCTAGCAGATCTAAAGGTTGTAGATCCATCCAAAACACTGAGGCTACTAGTTACGATGTTGAAATCCGTACCATCACCAGCAATCATAACATTTTTGTTCTTCTTTGCAACATCCACATTCTCCTCACAAACCCAGCTTTTCGCATACGTCACAAACCATCTTTTACTTCAACTTGGAGCCGAGTTCACAGCTTCTTGAACAGTGGTATAGTCCCACTTGCATCTATACCTCTACCACTTCAGCCTCAACATTGCCTCCTGAACTTTCCAATTGTTTCCGGTCCCTGCAAAAGATCCATGATGGAAAACCTCTTTAATGGCTGAACAATATCAGTATCAGAGGCTGAAAGACTAGCAACAACTACCAGAGAAGTTCTCGTTCTTGAAATCAAATCCTGGATTAATTTTTTCCATCGATTGACCTACTGTGTCAATTCGATCCAGGCTTGAACAACAGCACCAAGACACCCAAGATTATTAGCAAAACCCTCCATGCACGCACCACATCAACCGTAAATATCTCAAAACTTTGCTATTTTGTCAAATGCTCTAGCCAAAACTTGAAGCCATAACCTTTTTCACTTTCTCATTTCATGGTCCCAGAAATTATATTAGGAGAATGACACGGTGGTCCCTCAAGACAAGATATTTCAGTACCCATCCTCTATGATTTGAGGGGACCATTATGAAAAGTCCAATCTATCTATCCACTAATGGATGTATATAATCGAAGGCCACACTTCAAGATCATAGAATGGACTGGAAATGCGGCCCGTGACAAAGAAATCCTGATTACTACAGTATAAAGAAAGTGCAAAATACAGATATGACTGCACAACCTACGTTAGTGAAGGTCACCTGAATTCTCAGTTACACAGCTTCAGAAAGTGATGGTTCATCCAGCTTTAAGTAAAATAAACAATAATTCATAGTGACAGAAATTGAGCTTTTTTGGCAATAAACAATAAAGATGAAGGTTGAGCATGATGCAAGTATGTTAACAATTTTACTTGCAGATATTGATCATGTAGCTCATAGTTAAAGAATAAACGAGGGCAATCTCAGTTGATCATTAAAATCCCGACAACATTTGAAATAAAGGGAAATTAAAGGTTACCATTCATGGAGAGCCATTAATCTCAGCAACTTCCATTCCAGGCACAATCTCCCTAGGAAGCCTCTCAATGGCATCTTCAGCTGCATTCATGTCAAGGGCCTTCATTCCTGGCACACTATCGATCATGCCAATGCTCTTAAGCCTCTTGACCCCAGTAGCACCAAATGGCCCATCATGGCCGCAGGAACTCACAACCACCTCGGCCTCCATCACATTAAGGTCCATACAAGATTGTGTCATGATTCACTGACACAAGAGCCTAATTAGTGACCAGTCCACCTACTCTTCCTTCCTTCACTATCAAGTCCTCTGCAGCCACAGCATTGAAAAGCTTGACATTTGGACGAGCAAGGAGTTTGCTCGTGATTGTAGAGGTGAAGAGTGCAGCATGCTTGATTACTACATAGTCTTCTTGCTCATCATACTCGATGCTTAGCTCATTAAGGAAGAGATGAGCTGGTTTGCGTATAAGATATAGATGTACAATCAATTTCAAAATTTAATTCATAAAATGTAGATTGTAAAGATAGCTATATTTAAAAAAAAAAAAATTGCAGGTATATCTAGAAAATCAAGAACCTTGTACTAGCCAGTTCCTTCGAGAGAAATTAAATGAAAAATATTTTCATTGATTAGGAATCACGCCCCTTCTTTCCCTTTTTGATTAGTACTTCTACAAATGAAGCATGGAAGTATCTTAATTTTCTACTCAAATTCTGAATGAAGAATGATCACAAGCCCACAACATTATAAATTACAAATCTTGGCCACAATGTAAAGAGTGTAAATAGAACCAAGTGGCTATTATTCAACCAGAAAGCCCCATCAATCCTTATCATCATGTTACAACCATCAACCATGCCCAAAATAAAATAAAATAAAATCTCATAAAACGAGGAAAAAACTAACAAGACAACATAAGTGTTATCAGCTTTTTGTTATCATATACTAATTAATACAACAGTAAATAACATTAATTGCATGCAGAATGGAAGAATTTTGATTATCGTGGCAGAGATGCGAGCTGGCCACCAAACCAAGCACCACCGCCAGGCCTAACAGATTGTTCAACTATGGCAATTTTGACAGAAGCATTCTTGCTAAGCTCATAATCACAGGATAACCCAGCAGAGCCAGCACCAACAATAACAACATAAGTGTATCTGCACGAGTGGCTCCGTTTAGGAATGCGATTGAAACCCATTCTTTTAAATTTTATTTTATTTTATTTTATTATTAAAAATTATATTTTATGTTTTTAAATTTGTTTATTTTATTATTAAAAATTATTTTTTAAATTTTTAAAGTTTTTAAATTTTTTTGATATACTAATTTTAAAAATAATTTTTAAAAAATAAAAAAATATTTTGATACATTTCTAAACGAAAAATACTTTAAACCACAACCACTACTACAATTTCAAGCAGACTTTCTTGTCACTTCTCTTAACATTACAAAAAATTTTAAAACATAAAATATTTAATTATTATTAATGTGTTTTTTTAACTATAAGAAAATTTTTAATTATAAACTTAAAATCAAAAAAATTGACTCAACTAATTCAAATTATGGTTGATTAATTTTAAAAATCCAAAAAACATAACGTGATATAGATATTTATTTCTTAGATAGCGCATGTTGCATGGTGGACCAGGTCAAATTTTTCTTAACATAAAATAATTAAATAGGTTAAAAATTACTTGGTTGATCTTAAGGTACAAGATAAAATAAATAAATTTAAAAAAAACAAACATGAAAAAAAATGATCAAAATTAAATCTATAAAAGAATGCTAAAAAAAACATTAGTTAATTTAAGTTAACTTGACTAAACCACAATAGGATAACCTTATGAAAAAGAAGTGGAAAAATAACAAAGCTCAGGGGCTAATAATTTAATACTAAAGGATGAAAATGAAAAAAAAATCAGTTCTATATATAAAATATTAAGAGTAAAAGAACTAATTCAACTTGGGTTAACTTGAATAACCCGTTACCTAAGATATGAGATCGGGATAACCCTATAAAAATAAAAAAACAACAAATCATGAATCCCAAAGGTCGAAAACTTAATATGGAATGATAAAATTATAACAAAATATAAAAAAAAACAACCTAAAAAGGATTGAGTTTAAATCAAGCTAATATCTGAAACCAATTATTTGTATCATGAGACCAAGATTACCTTATAGAAGATAGATATAAAAAACAATTACAAAGCAAATTTCCTAATAATAAAAAATTAAAACAAAAAAAATAGTAATCATAACAAGAAGGACCAAATTTGGTATACAAACTAAATGAAATAATAATAAAAAATGAGCGTCAAAATTGGATACAAAATAAGTATCGACTAAATTGAAAAATAAAATAAATTAAAAAAAATAAGAGCAATCAAAAGAATGGTGGCTAAAATTGGATACAAAAATTAAATAAAAAAAATATTAAGGGAAAATGAAAGAAAAAAATCAAGAAAATGATAAAAAAAATAACAATAAAAAAATGAGGATCAAATTGGATACAGCAATTAAATGAAATAAATATTCACGGTTGAAATTGAAAAAAAAAACTTTATAAGGCATTAAAATCAACACAAATAGCAATCAAATTAATAAAAATTAAAATAAACACAAATTGATGGATACAATTGATTTTTAGAAGGATAAAAATGAATTTTAATATTAAGATAAAGAAAAAAACAATTCTACCACCATTAAACCATTATGACTATCACCGCACTTGTTGCCTTATTAGTTAAGCCATCACAAGACGTTTTAGGCAATATAATATATAATATGTGGTTATTTTTAGTAGTTAGATGGGTCATCCAAATGGTGCAGATAATGTTCACTCTCTAGAGCATGCAAAGCATATGCCATTAATTTTTTATTTTTTTATAATATTTGTATTTGTTTAAAGATTGATTTGCTTCTAATATAGATTGATTTCAATGGTAAGTTAGTAATTTTACTGTGCAACAAAAAAATAAAACAAAAATAAAACAATCAATCTATATTGATTCCCTCCCAGATTACATTTCTTTGGCTTATATTATAAAGGGCAAAAATATCAATACACTATATCAATTCATAATATAATAAATTTTGATTCACAATTCATATACATTACCAAGCCTTTTTAACTTCTTTTAATAATAGTACATAAAAAATATTCCTCAAGAGGTGTTAACTAAAATGTAACCCATGCATTTTTCAAATGAAAGGGATGCATTTCCATGTTGGCTATTTATTCCTGGCCTAAATGATTAAAATTTCTTATCATTTAAGCATGGCTTAAATAGCTACAAATATAGTATTCTTAATAATATTTTATTTTGATTTATTTTGGTTTGTATAATTTTATCTTAGCACATTTCTTTTCACATTTTGAATTTATAAGAGTCATATCCATAAATTTTTCATATATATAATTTATTCTATGTATATACAACTTTTCAATGCAAAGTAGAAAAATAATATTATTAGCATTTTTATCAATAACATACATGACACAACAACTAATCAAGACTTAATTTTCTCGAAAAATATTGTCATCAACATCTTATATTACTTTCTATATTATTTTATAACACACAGTGCACTAGCATGACTAGATATTTTTCTATACAATAAGCATTATGTAGCACCAACAAGCATCATTTTCTCCTCCAATTGATTACCAGCTCTACGATCAATGGTGAGTATCAATGATATGCTAGTTTTCCTTCTTTATAAAGTAAGTTAAGGGAATTTGATAGGCTGGTTTTCCTTCACTATAAAGTAAGTTCAGGGACTTAGATGTATAAATAAACTTAATTACTAAGTAAAAAAAATTCAAGTTTATCATTGCGCATAAAAAGCCAGAGCTATACATAGTCAAGTCAAGCTCATGCAAATTCAAGGCCATACAAATCCTAAACAGACTATTTATATACATTTAACTCCAAATATACTATACTCCTCTTGTACTTGCTAATTTAAGCGCATATATATATATATGCTAGAACACAATCATAAAAAACTCATTTTCTATCTAATTTCTTTTTATGATTTGATAAGATACCTACCTTTAAATATATACATGTAAAAACAAAAATTGTTACATGTTATTTTGTACTCATTATGGACAATATTCTTGTATCTTTTGTGATGTTTCCTGTGACGAGCTCACTGTGACTTCGGAAGGCTTATAGAAGGAGATAGCTTTTTCATTATGCTTTTGGAATATTATCATCGATCATAATGATTTTTTGGAGTTCTTTAGAAGGAGCTTTTGTTATTTGTATAAAGAACAAACTGAACAGATGAACACTACATGCTACCAACAACGTTGGGATCCAGACAAACTGTTCAACATTTGAGAGGAATCCCCAAAGTTAGATCATGCAGAGACGAATCCATTAGGCATAACAAGGCACAATGGAAGCCTGTCCAACCTTTGCTCGTTAAGCAAACTTCAAGAGGTGCTTTAACTAAATAGGAAAAACAATAGAAGAGCACCCGCTAAATATGAATAGGATCCGTATTTCCTGGCGTGCTTTGGATCGCTATGGAGTGCTTGTTCGCTGCAGACACTGTTCAGGGAAAAAAAATAAACTAGCATTTATTGTCTCTGTTCTCTGTTGTGAGGATGGCAATGGGCCACCTGCTGAATTTCCTGTCATTTTGTGCCAGTTTGGTAATAAATTACCAACTGGGTGAGTTTCAAAAATCGATTTGCCTTGAATTCTTTTTTTCTGTGCTAATACTAAAAATATACTTTTAAAAAACATATATGGCGCCAAGCCGCCAACACCCACTTAAAAAAGCATTAACCAGGAACACCCCAACATTATATCGATAATTTATAGTTCGACTCGAGAGAGCAATAGCTATTTAATACACAAATACAAACTGTGAAGTATTCCATTATCATCCCACAATATAGAGACCAGATATCTGGACAACACCAGAAACAAATGATGCATATGTCATACAACCAAACATAGGAAAGATAATAATAATAGCTTCGATATCTCTAAAGTTCTTGATAATAGCGGGGAGAGCACAGTGTGGAGTTTTAAATTTACTGCAACAGCTTAGAAACCATGAATTTTAATATTCTCCTTCTTCACAATGCCAGCCTGACCAAACAAAACAAAATTAAAATTTGGATCCACCTAAATATCAGTATTTGGAGACAACCCAAATGAGAAAAATTGATTGTTAATCTCCTCAGCTCGCACAAGGAATGAAAATTACCTGAACAAGAAAGGTAGAGACATTCTTGCGCTGGTCACCTTGAAGTTGAATAACCTGTATAGAACAATCACATAAGCGGCGAGAGACTAAACATTCAAAGGCTATTTTAAATGCTATGCTGAAACACACATACCTGGCCTAATTCAAGGTCCTGCACCACTGTACCATTACAGCAGAATTCTTTCTTGAGGTCCTTGAGTATCTTGTTATAGCTGAATTCTTTTTTCAAACCTTGCACAGTTGTCAAGCTTTTTCTACCATTGCGTTGCTGTGTACGAATGTGCACATACTCTTTTGCCCCAGCACCTGAGTCCTCAGCATTTGCATCAGCAAAAGGATCTACCATGGCAAACCACATAATTGTCAGACATCTAGGTGTAGATAGAGTAGAAGGTTTTGTCACATCTCAGAACAATACCAGTATCAGTACAACACAATTCGTGAGCATACTAGCGACAAAATTTAAGATGAGTAAAAAGATCTAGGTGTAGATAGAGTAGAAGGTTTTGGCACATCTCAGAACAATACAAGTATCAGTACAACACAATTCATGAGCATACTAGCAACAAAATTTAAGATGAGTAAAAAAGCTAGTTTACCAAAGGCAGTGGGAGTTTGGATGTCGAGATCAGACATAAAACCTTTACTCTTCAAGGAAGCCCAACAACCTAAAAGCTCAGACCTGAATAGAAATAACTCCATATTAACAGGGACTGAAAAGCTATTAAAAACTCGAGGATAGGACTAACTTTGCTAGGAAATTTTTTTTTTTTTATCCTTTCCAAAACCACAGCATATTTCTTAGGAGACAAAAACAAGTCGCTCTATTTTCACCATAAAAAAAGGAAATCACCTAAATAAACAAGAAATAAATGGAACAATAAATTACTTCCTGCTCACACTGGGGCAAGCAGGTAAGGCCGTTTATGAACTAATCGATCATGATAGAGAAAACTCACATAACAAAGTTGGCAACCACATCAAAAATCAAGATCCTAGATTAATAAGTTGCTTGTCACCAAACAGAACAATAGGAGCTACCAAAACTCTAAATAGAACATGTCATAAATTATTACTAATCGCATCCATATTCCAAACACAAACTCATTAACAAACAAACAAAAACACAAACACAAACTTGATGTAAAACAAAGGAGCTTGCTTTATTCAACAAAAATACAGATCTTAACTGCCTAATTGAACATAGAGATATGATCACTCCCACAAGCCAATAAGCTAATCAGACAGCAGACACAAAAAAACAAACTTCAAAAAATGAAGAAAAGAAGAACCCATCAATCAAGAAACCAATAAAAATGCCATCTATCAAGAGAGAGATTATAGCTTGCAATCAACTCGCAAAGATCTGATCTTTTTAAACAAGATTCACAGAATTAACGCGGGAAATTAATAACTAAGCTGAAAAATAGCATAAAAAGAAGATGAAATCAACTAATTAGAACAAAGAGAAATTACTTGATCCGGTGACTAGGGTTTCGATGTGAGAGAATGGTTGATTGATTTCAAGCGAAGCTACGTCAAGATAACAGGCTGTTTGGTTGCGAAGAAAGCCGAGCTCTAGAAAATATATCGCGAGAACAAGCGAGAGCGTGTTGGTTTTCGAATTTACATTTTTAGGGTTGGGTCGGTTAATATAAGTTCTACTCTCAAGAGTGGTGGGTGCATGGACACGCGTTGTGATTGGTATTTTCCGTCGCAGGATTTTAATAGAATGAACACATGGCGGGTGGATCTTGGGATTAAAGAAGATTCCGTAGCTGGAGGGAGTGAGTTAAGAAATTTCATAGAAAAGCGTTTGTTCTTACCGAACGACACCGTTGGTGAATTAAGAGTTTAGGACCGCTTGTTTGTTTCTTTGGGCTTTTACTATTAAAAATATTAAATTATTTTTTTAAGTATTATTTTAAAGTTTTAATACATTAAAAATAAAAAATTATTATTTTAATAATTTTATAAAAAAAATTATTACATTATTATTTTTTTGAAAGTGTCAACATGTTGATAACTATTTCTATTTAATTTTACAATAACCAAGAAAAATATTCATAATAATTTTATTAATTTATATCTCAAATGAAAAATGTATTTTTCATAAAAAGATTCTTTTATATATTCTTATATTTCACAAAAGCATTTCTTTTTTACTAGAATCAAGGTTTTTTTAAATAAAAATTATCATAGTTTCAATAATAATTAAAAAAAAAAAACATGTCCCAAAATTAGCAAGTTGTACAGTTGCAGTGAATTTTGTTATTCTATTTCCATCCATAAATCAGTCAAAGGCAAATGAAATCAAATTTCTTGCAAATCATTCGTCATCCCATGTATAGATTATTGGAAGGCACATGTTTTTGGATTCCTAGCACAAGCCTCGTCTCCTGCAAATCGTGGTCAAATATTTTGGATGGATTAGCTAAATAGATATTAAATAATAAAATTAAAAATTATTTAAGTAAAAAAATTAAAATAATCAAAATTAAATTTGGTAAAAAAAATAAAAATATGAAGAAATCAATAAAAAAATCTAACTATAAAAATTAATTTAAATTAAAAAATAAAAATCAAATTTGGTATAAAAAAATTGAAAGATACAATTGAAAAAAATAATTTTATAAACTACTTTAATTAAAAATATGGTAATAAAAAAAATATGAATTAAATATGATGAAAAAATTAATTGAAAAACTATTTTAAAAATTTATAGAGACAAATATAAAAATCAAGGAGTTAAAACAAAAAAAAACCATCAACTTCGAACTAGAGCCTCATCTTCCTCACACGTTGAGTAGGGTTGGATGGAGTCAGGATGATTTCAACATGGCTTTGGAAGCCACCATTTCCTCTTGAAGGCTTTTCATGGTGCAAAAATAGTTAATGTATTGAAGTGTCTACAGTACGTATCAATAACTTTAGACACTCCATGTACTGCCTGAAAAGCTCAAAAGCAGTCGATATGTTGAAGTGTATATGGTACGCATCAACAACTTTATTTTTAAATAATATTATATTTTTAAAATTATTAAGTTTCCCTTCCATCAATATGATTATATTTAAAAAGAAAAAGAAAAAGAAAAACATTGTGAAGAAAATGATAATCATTTCAAGAAAATTATATGATTTGGGTTTTTATTTGAACTTTGGTATCTTCAATCAACTAGCTATAGTTATTATTCTTATATTATTTTATTTTTAAAGATTCTAAATTCACTCTCCTCGAGAAACTATACATAAATTCTCTCGATAAAACTTTGTTAGCGAATTTCTAATATTTTTTATTTTATTTTACATAGTCAATGAAAATAATTTCATTCAAAAGCAAAGTATTCAATAATATTATATCCAAAATATATATTTTTAAATTTATCATTATACATGTTATTTTGTGCTCTTTTTATTGTTGACAAACTATAACAATGGACATACATATCTAGCATTGATTTGACTAACATTGAATGTCCTTTATGAAATTTTAAAATTATTTAGCTTTTTCTTCAATTTTACTAAAAGCAATAACCTTCAATTCTATCACGGATCTTGCAACATATTTATTTAGAGAATTTCTATGACACAGTGACTTCATCAAATGTGAAAACATATTCACTTGTAAATTTCAATTTCTTAATGTCAAATATCTAATTGACATCATTATACTTTTCAAGCATTGTCGAGTAACCAACCAATATAGTGTTATAGTGTAGTTTAAGGTGTACCTCAAATATTTCATTAATTTAAGTATGTTTGGTATTGTGGTAACTTTTGTATTGTGGTTTGAAAAAAGTTGTTGTATAAAATATATTTTTAGTTGAAGTTGGTTTGATATTTATATATGTGTTGGTTGAAATTGAGGTTGAATAAAAAGTAATTTAATATGTTTGGTTAAACATGTTTTTTAAATTGAAATTATAAAATAACTAAAAAATATATATATTCATATTGATGGTTTTTAATTTAAATATTGTAAATTTAACTACCACTATTATATCATTAAATAAATAATACTTTATATCAAATATTTTTTTTAATCCATTAACTTATTTACAATTTTATCACATATGAAATTCATCTGAAAATGACTATAATTTCTATGATTTTTTGAGCGGCAAAAAAATTAGATAAAATATCATCAAAAATAAAATTAAAATTGCAATTAAATTCCATAAATGATACATCATCATGTGATGTCTTTCTAGTTCATATAATGTTATTGAATAATTTTTTGAGTAAAACATAATTTAAAAAAATAAAAAAAGTTTACCAAATCAAACACGATCCAATGAATATTAGAGATATTGTTCTCAAGAACAATGCTAAGTAAATTAATTTACTAGCACATTGTTCACTTCTTGAAGTCAACAGAGTGAACATTGCCCAGATGAATTATTCACTTGGCATAGATACGACAGAATGAAGAAATAGCTCTCAGCTGCTTTGTCTAAACCAGCGATTTCAACATAAAATATATGGGTCCCCCACAAATAGTAAATTGAGTTTCTAGATTACCAAACATGTTTTTTAAGTTATTTGCTTTAAAAGTTAAAGCTACCGTGTAAACAAACATCCTTTATTTGTAGTGCTTTTCAATTATTCAACTTGAATCACAGGTAAATCTACTTAGTTTGCTTATCAAGTAAGTTATATTAAGTTTTGTTTAGTTATGATATACATGAAGTTTTCAATTGTTCATGAATATTTTAATTAGTCTTTTTCCTTGCCTTTTCTTGTCACTTTTAAAAAAATTATCAAGTATTTTTTCAATATTAACTCATCACATATCCTAGAGCTTTGGTTTAAGCCTATAACTCACTTTGTTTAAGAGCCCTATCCTTTAAAAGCTTAGGTTTTTTTGTTCAATTTTAACTTTTCAACTTTACACTTCATAAACACTAAGAAAAATATGTTTCTTTTCTATCTAAAATAGAGTGTTTTTAGAGGATTTTGGATTCCATTAAATTATACAAATAAAAAATATTTTGAGATTAAATTCTTATTCACTTGTATTTTATTTAAGATAAGTTAATGTTTCATGTTAAATAGTTTATATTATAGAATAAATTTGACCAAATTCTTCACCCTTAAAGTAAATGGACCCTTTTGAACATCCCATTAACCATATTCTCAACCAAATTTTCCAACATTTTAATCATCATGAAGGTTGTAGAAATTGAATTTCTTGATCTGAAAATTAAAATCCGTAAATGCATGCCTTTAAAGGAGACAGAACATCCAACTATTGAGCAAATACGTGATTCTCGGGTGTAAATCAATTTAATCATGTTGGAAAAGCATCCCATCACAAAACAAAACACACTTCACATGTAGTTAACATATACTTGTTGTATAGTTCGTAAACAAATTAGTCCAAACTAATTCCTCAACATACATGTTACTTGCAAGGAAGGGGTAGAGACTATAAAATTAGATATTGAGTCTGTGTTTTGTTTAAAATACAGATGCAACCTGTTTAATAATTAAAAAAATATAAATTATTGTTCATAAGTCACACAGGATTTTGCATTTGAAATGCAAGGGAAAGGAAAGCAGCTAGGAGCTGCTTCTTGCGTGGAAAAACGCTGAACCATACTCCACTGTCCTGCTCGGACTAAATCTGGTCCAAAACTCAAAATGCATTGAACCGGGTCCGATCCAATAAAATAAAAAATATTTTTTATTTTTTAATTGTCTTTTATTTGAAAAACTAGTATTTAATATTATTCAATAACATTATATAAAATATACATAACATTTGTAGAATTTGATTGCAATTTCAATTTGTAAATATTTTAATGGAACACGATTGCAATTTTAATTTGTAAATAATTTAATGAAACACTAAAAAATATTTTTTATAAAGTATTATTTATTTCATGATATAATAGCAATAGTTAAATCTATTATATTTATTATTTATTTCATAATATAATAACAATAGTTAAATCTATTATATTTAAATTAAAAACTATTAATATTAATATATATTTTTTAAAATTATTTTATAACCTCAATTTCAATAGTTTTCTTAATCAAACACGTCAAATTATTTTTTATTTAATCTCAATTTCAACTATAGTTAACTAAATATATATAAATATCAAATTAATTTCAAATAACAATATTTTTTATAAAATAATTTTTTCAAACTACAATCACAGAAACTACTAAAACATTATTACTAAGAGAGAAATAATTATTACAAAAAAAAAAACCTTTAAAATAACCATCATTTTCTACCATTAATCTATTTACAGTACCGCACACACCTCTTAAAAGTTTTTCTCATTACATCTGTCTAAAATATTCACTCATCTTTCTTTATGATTCAAAAATCACATCTTTGATGAACAATGATATCAATTAATTACCAGATTCTAGCAAAACCTTGTTTCTCTTTCTACTAGGACTCACCCATCTTCGTACTTTGCAATAACACATATTTAACTCTTTATTTGCTATCATTTTATATGAAAAATTCTATCAAAACATAGAAGATAATCAAAAACTGTATTAATCTAATTTATAATTTTTTACTTAAAAAACTATAAAATTAATATATGTATTTTTTAATTATTTTATTTTTAAA